TGGAAAGCATTTCAACAAACTTCATCCGGTGGATTCCTTCAAGCATAGGAAGCTACCAAGCTCATTTGTCACCGATATACTGGTTTCAGATAAGCATTCTATCCCTATACTCTTTTATCTGTAGAACTAACATTTTTTTGCAGGTATCGGCGTATACAGAGTGATCTAGGATCGCAGAATGTTTTAAATCATTTTCCGTCCCTATCAACTACTTTGACTATCGTTTTCAAAACTGACGTTTTTACAAACTCAGTCAAAGTGGGGGCTTCTGTAGACACCAAAAAATGTCTCCCCAAAACCAAACCCGATGATGAACAACCTTTCACCGCCATTATTGGTCGAGTTGAGTATTTAATCTTGGAGTGCTTAAATCCCTATTTCCATTTCATAAACCAACTAAATTCCTATCCCATTTTCCCAAACCATAACTTATTTTTCTCTTTTCGTGCCTTTAAACCCAAAATAATTCATTTCACCTGATTTTTTTCGCAAGAGTTGTAATCCGATTCGAACTCGATCTTTTCTTGATTCTTCGACCTGATTTTTTCTCTATAAATAGAGGTCATATCACCCCTTTTTCAATCATAAACAAGCTTGATCATAAAATCATTCTCCTCTCACTCTTTAGCCTAATCACTAGCTTCCCCATTCTTTCAGTATTTCTTCCTTTAAGCACTCCAAGGAGTCCATACAATACCTAAAATTCTATACTTTGACCAAGGCGTGATAGGTAGAATTAACTGAGGGTTTGGACCAAATTAACTCTACTTTGTATTTAATTTAATTTAATTTTTATTTGATTTATATTTTTATTGAAGTTACTAACAGTTTATTCATGATGTAGCAATTCAAGGAAACGCGGAATGTGAGTAATTAATCACTTAATTACTCTTTTTTTTTTCTTATTGCTAGTATCATGATTAGGGTTATTTTATATTTGATTTGACTAACACTATTATTTCTGAATTACTTCCAATATTAATGTTTATTATATTATTGTTATGATCACCATATTGCATGTTTAAAGGGAATATGTAATTGAAAATCACGACTAATAAGATAATTTGGACAACCGGTTTAGGTTCCTTTTTAATCTTGTTATTAATTCAAGTGATCACAATATTTTAGAATTATATGTTGCATTAATATTCAACCAATTTAGCTAAATAATAGATTGGAGCAAATTGAATCTTCGTTTGTATGCCTTCGAGATCGCAAGAATTACTTTTCACAATAAGAATCGAGTAGAGGCCAATACAGGCGAATGTGACTCCATGACTCACTTCGTACCATCATCCCCGATCTTCCTTTCGTGTTTCCGAACCATATGGAGTTAGTAATCTCATGGATTATGAATGGGGTGTAACCTTCACGGGTCAATCGTTGTTGCCTATCGTTGTCCATTCATCGTGGTTGCCTTTTATGATCCGTGAACGGTTTACAAGTTCCTTAAAAACTTGTTGGCGGCTCCCTACATTCCTTGTCCCTAATCGTATTATGTCAATTCCACTTCCTATGAGTACCAAACATATTCACAACATGCTTTGAACGTAGGCGCACTTCGAGTGACGCCTACAGAGGGTTTGGTCCCAAATCCCTAATTAAATTATTTAAGTTAATTGTTTGATTTAATATTTTCATTGAAGTTACTAATGTGTGTATTGTTTTAATAGAAAGAGATACGAGGCAACCAAATAAGTTGTTTTAATTGCTCTATTTCTTTAGAAACCATGCTTGTATTATTTTAACTCGTGGTATCTTGATAGGATGCTTTTATTGCTTTCTAGTATCATGTTTAGGTTGTTTCCTATGTTCTTCAATTCTATCATGTTAGTATCATGTTACGGATAAAGCTTTGATATTTCCTATTTAGTGACATGCTAAGAATTGTTATTAATCGTGTTAGTATCATGCCTAGGATCTTGCTAATATTATGCTTTGAAGAGAAGATGATTATGATGATGATGATTTGTTGTATCAATATTATGTTGCTTGTTATTATTATTATTATTGTAATTTTTATTGCTTGTTCACACCCTCTCTTGCAGGTTTAAAGGGAACTTGTACTTGTAATAATGCTTAATAAGATAATTAATAATTTTAATTAGGATCATATGATTATAATTCAAGTGATCGTCAATAAAGTTTTGTTTGTGCATTAATATTCAACTAACTTCCGCATCTAACTTAATTAATCCAATTAATTAAGCCTGTAGAACCCAAAATTTGTCAAAATAAATTTTGCCAATGCCGCTCAAAAACCAAGGCCTAGCCTCCAAAAATTTTAATTGAAATAAACAAAATTAATTAAAATAATTAAAAACGGCTTAAAATTCAAAACGTAACCCAATGATTTTGAGTGTGTGCCTAGCACCAAGCAATGAGGCTTGGTTTGCTAGGCACCAAGCCTTGGCAGGGGTGCAAGCTACTGCTTGCACGCACTTGCTGCTGTGTCGGGCTCGTGCTGCCTAATAGCTATAGACATCTACTTTTGGCTTCCTTTCTCGACAGAAAATTCAATGACGATAAATAAAACCATCTTCGTGTTGGATAAAAGTAAAGAATACTAATGGATAACTAGTTAAGCCACAAAACACAAAAGAGTAGCCCAAATTAAAGAAAAAGCCAAAACAAAGGTCCAATTAACTAAACCCGATCATAATTAGGCTTAAGCGCATGCTAAAAAACCTTATAATGACGGATTTAGTAGCGCCTAGGTTAAATCTTAGTGCTGCGCTGGGCTGCCGCAAGCAACTAATTCATTTGAGCGTGACACCCAGCGCAACCTCTAGAGTTGCATTGCGGAAGACTCAAATTTATACGGAAAATATAAAATCAAATATTACCATAAAGCCGCGCGCAAGAAAATTAGTTGGGCTGCACATAGCAGCGCAAGAAAATTAGTTGGGCTGCACATAGCAGCGCAACTCAATCACTTGGGGTGGGATGCCGCTCGCAACTCATCTGTTGCGCGCGACACCTGCTGTAGTATAATGCTCGAAACCCTAAACCTAATCATTCCCTATAAATACGAGCTTAAGCAAAGGCTTAAACAGACAAAAATTAACCTAAAACTCTAGAAAAATACTTGTGAACTTGTACAACCTAGCCCTCTTGGCCTAAACAATCACCTTTTAGATATCTTGTTACTACGGTGGAGGTTCCCTAACAAGGAGTCAATAAATGTTCTAAACGGGGATCTAGCAAAGAGAAGTGGTAAATTCCCGAGCACTTAGTTAAATCACCTTTATTTTCTTGTTTAAAAGGACTTTAATTAATTAATTAATTAGTGTAGTTTTATCACCATTGAAATAATTAATTAATCAATTCCACATAGTATCTTGCGTTAAATAAAGATTAAAATTGAATTAAATAATTGTTGGTTCATCACTTAATCCAAGGCGAATCTAGTTTATTTACTTGTCCTTTTAACGAATTTAATTAAATAAGAATAACGACATTACGATGTAATTCCAACGTGAATTAATGCTTGTAAATAAAATCAACTAATATAGTTTTAGGTATCGCGTTGCATATATTGTTTGGTGATGAACACTACAAGAAATTAACCTTTTCGTAGCGATTATTTTACCCTTTAGTATCGATTGTAATTGCTACAAAAGGCTATTCCAACGAATGGTCATTCGATACAATATCCTCCATTGCCTTAGCCTTTAGCAGTGGTTTTCAATATCGCTAGGGTTGGCCTCAGTAATCGATGCAAAAACTACATCCAATCGTGGTGATTATTGTAGCGATTACAATCGCTATAAATCTTTACAAGATTCGAACATGCAACCTCAAAACTCTTATATTAAATGTTTCACCAATAGGCTATAACATATTTTATGTATTCTTTGTCAAACAATATTTACATATCTAGTGTAGAAAAGGCTTTTCGTATCGACTTTTGGGATTTAGTGGCGATTGTAAATGATACGATTTCTCAAAATTATATAAATGTGTAAAAATAGTGTGGATATGTATTATTATGTTTTTCGTATCGATTTTATACGGGAAAACCATGGCGATTGTAAAATGATACGACTTCCTTAATTATTTCACAAACATACTTGCATATTGTAGCGAATGTATAATCGCTACAAAATAATCGCTATGAAAAGACATTTTTCTTGTAGTGGAAATTGTAAAAAAGGAAGAGCTAGTAGAGACCGTACTAGGGCTAGGATAACGATTCCTCTCTAAAAGGAACGTTATTTTAGAACCCTCGCTCCCGAACTCATTTCTGGTTTATAGACCAATTAGGGCATGGGTAAACTTATGATTTGTGCTAATTATTCCATGAACTCCACATGGAAGAAAGACATGAACGAGGTTTATGAGTTTTTCCTAAAACTCATTGGCGACTCCTACTTGTTTCTTACAAAAAAAAGTAATGATAGAATCAATTCTAATTCAAGGTACTCCAAACAGTCAGGTATTTAAATCCTACTACACCCTAACAAGTGTAAAGTCCTACTGTAAGGAGGGTGATCACATCGTAAGGGGTACTCTCCTTAAATGCCCTTGGCCACTTAAAAGCCTAGGACTTTACACTTTATGGTGTAGTAGGATTGGAATTCCTGACTGTTTGGGGGACCTTGAATTAAAATTGTAACTATCAATACACTTTTTTGTAAGAAACAAGTAGGAGTCGCCAATGAGTTTTGGGAAAAACTCATAATCATGCCTTTCTTCTATGTGGAGTTCATGGAATCACTACCACAAAAACTAGATTACATATCACAATATATAAAACGGATTTCAAAGATAGGCGTTCTCAGAAGAATATAGAACGCATTTGTGAAAGAGGTGTTTTATGAGTTATTAAATATAGAAATGTTAGAATAGTTAACCTTTCTCTATTTTTTTTACTCAAATAATAAAAAAATAAATAATTATTCATTTTAGATGATACAGAACGGTTCATCTTGCCAACCGTTTTTTTTTTTCTTTTTTATTCTATATTTTTGTAAAAAAAATGGAGGGATATTTATGTGGACCTTTGGGATATTTAGAATTACCCTAATTATTCAAAGGATGCTTAACATAATTGAAACGCTTTTATATTGCACTATCACTATTTAATAGAGTATCAAACTATCAACTGCTTACTACTTCAAAAAAACAATGAAAAGTGAAACCTCCTGTTACTCAATTCACCAATAATTGCTTCGTCACCCTACCACCCCACCGTCGCCCCATCTCCCCACTGTCATTCCACCGCCCCACCGTCGTCCCACCGCCAAAATATTGAACGTCTACTTCACCGCACCGCTCCGCTACACCACCACTGCACTTTCCAGGTAATTCGTTCAAACTTTTCTTGATTCGGATGAGTTTGTCAAGCTAATTATATTAATCAATCGAATTTTTCAATTTAGCTGTAGTGAATTCATATTTTTCATCCATTACAGTAATTTCGATCGAATTTTTGGTGGATTAAAAAAATTTACAATTTTAGTTTTGGGAAATAATTCAATCGATTCTAATAAACGCAAATAATTCAACAAAATTGCAGTTTTTTCAATCAAATTACACTGAATTTATTTGAATTACAAGAAATTTCAGTATTAATCAAAATTATTTTCGCCAAATTATTCTTACCTAGGTCAAATATAGAACCTAATTAGATAAAGAAAGATGGGTAGGGGAAATTGAATACCACTGATTATTCTGTTCTATTAATTTCAAATTATTGGGAATGAGGGACATGAAGGCTTTTAATAAAGCTCTACTCGCTAAGAAAGCTTGGAGGATTGTAAACAACACTCCCTCACTGATGGTTAAAACTCTGAAAAATAAGTATTTCCCAAATTCTGAATTTACATATGGATGCTAAGGTGGGTTCTAATGCGAGTTATACTTGGAGGTCTATATTATCTGCTCGAGACCTGCTGAAAATAGGGCCGGTGAAGTCTGTTGGGAAGGGTCGTAGAATTAATATTTGGCACGATCCTTGGGTGTCTTCCCCACCTGGTTTCCGCACTTTTAAGAATGAAACTCATAGTGAGGACTCCCCTAAAGTGGTGCATGATCTGATCACTGATGGAGAGTGGGATAGAATTGAAGTCTCATTAATTCTATTTTTTCCACCTGGGAAGCTGAAGCTCGCCTCTATGATATGGATAAGTGGATGTGGGTACACTCAAAAAAAGGGGAATTTTCTGTCCGAAGTGCCTACTATGTGCAATTGCAGGCTAATAAAACTGATCGTGCTTCTATCTCTGATGCAAGTCAGATCACTATTTGGGGAAAGCTTTTGAATGCAAATATACCTCCAAAAATCAAGCACTTTGGTTGGAGAGCTCTTCAGAACAACTTCCCTGTTAGAAGCATTCCGAAAAAAAGAAATATTTATGAGGATGATGGTTTCCCGAGCTGTGGTGAGGCTGCTGAAACAATTATACACTCCCTTTTCACTTGCTCTGAAGCTAAGGTGATTTGGTACCTTTCTCCTCTTTGTCTTAATACTAGCAAGTGTGAAGACTCCTTTTTTCTGGTGTGGTGCAGGAAGTTGGAGCACTATTATAAGGTTAAAAATTGGTGGGATATTTTTTGGTGCTTAGTGTGGGGAATCTGGTTGAAAAGAAACACTCACTATTTTGAGAAAAAAAATTATGACTTTAGAGAAGGTGATAATAAATATGGTGGGTGAGTACGAAAAAGCTAATGAAAAAATTCCTTATGAGATGTGTGAGAGGCAAAATTTTGACAAGAAGTGGTCTCCTCCTGCTATTGGGTACTACAAGATTAATTCAGATGTTCCTGTGTTTGTTGACAACATGATAGGCTTGGGTGGGATCATGAGAGATCACCTTGGTGATGTTAAGGCAGCAACTTGTTGTTTACAGCATGGGTGTTTCGAGGTGGATATTGCTAAAGCTCTAGTAGCAAGACATTGCCTGACCATTGCTTTGGATGAAGGACTGCGTGATTTAGTGCTGGAAACTTACTGCAACAAGTTGTACCAGTATTTACAGCATGGGAAATGTGAAACTTCAGCCTTAGGTGTTATTGTTAGTGATATTCTTCTCTTGGCTAGCTCTTTCTCTATTATTTCTATTTCACAGGTTGGTAGAGATGGCAATTGTGCCGCTCATTTATTAGCTAGAGGTAGCATTGAGTTTGGTGAGATGAGAGTATGGTTAGAAGAAGTTACACATTGTGCTTGTAATGCCGTGCTGCTAGATTTAACTAGCCTGGAATAATATTATGGTCAGATTTTCTGTAAAAAAAAAAAAAAATAATAAAAAAAAAATAAAAAAAAAAAAAACCTTAATTTGCAAATTATTTTAGAAAAATTGATTTGCTTTGCTTTTCTTTCATAAAAGGGTTGGTTATGAGATGTTGTGATTGAAACTCAGTGATGATTTAATCTAATTCTAGTGATGTATAAGAGTAGTCATGGTGTTTGTGGATTTTGGGTAGCTGATTGTGAAGAGAGAAGAGCAGGAAATCAGAATCTTATAGAAGTGAATTTATAATAATAATAAGGTGGCAGAGTTGATTAAAGGAAAATTTCTTGTTGCTTGATTGTGAAGAGTTGAACTTGATATGTTAGTTCCCCTCCTTCCCTGACACTAGTAATATTTGTTGATTATATCTGCATGCTACTGTTGAAACTATAACGTCAACTTATACATCTCTTAACAGTTAACAGGCACTTTTGTTAAGTCATCCAAAGAAAGACATGGTGACATTGCAGAATAACAGCCATTTATGAAGTACTCCGTATGTATCTTTTACATACTCTTTTCTTTATCAGCTTTTCCTTTCATATAAGTTAAATTCAACCAACATTTAGAAGAATGGACGTAGTACCTAGAAGTTATACTAATTTTAACCTCTTATCTAAAACTGTGTTGATGCAGGTTTTCCGGTCTATAGATTCAGATTATGTACAAGGATTTCCAAAGGATGTTCAGGAGGTTGAGTCTCAGGTTCGTTGACACGATGTTTTGCTTTTGCACTAACTGTACTATTAGCTATGTATTTTCGATAATGAAGCCAATTTGGACTCAATGTACCTGTATTCATTGCAGAACCTGCTTTGTGCGAAGAATTTGATGATAGACAAGAGCATCAAAACAACATACATTGAAGCAATCAGATCCGCTCAACATTTCATTTATATAGAAAACCAGTATTTCCTTGGATCATCATATGCTTGGTAAAATTACAAAAATGCCGGTATAAAAATTTTTGTTTCCCTCTCTTATTATCTTGCTGTTGAGGTTGTTTAGAAATTGTGAATGTTCCTGTTAGATTCGATAGCTAGTTTTGTTAATGATTTTGTAATGGCAGGTGCTGATCATTTGATACCAATGGAGTTGGCCTTGAAGATTGTTAGCAAAATCTGAGCCAAAGAGAGATTTGATGTCTAAGTTGTCATCCTTATGTGAATTGTAGATCAATATGGTATTCGTATATCTAAGCATTATTTTTTGTAAATCAACAATAACTAGAAAGGTGTTTTTATATTAAACTCGGGTATATATTTGTATAGAACAAATTTTGTATGGATGATTCAATTTATTGTGGTTAGATGTTTTAAATTATATATATGAAGTATATTTTGATGAATTTCATCTTATTTGGAAATATTTTTGTTAATTTTATTTTATAGAAATTTATATTGTACGTATACAGGATCATGGATTTATTTTTACATAGGAAATGCAAAAATTTTCTTACAGGATAAATGTACTAGATAAAAAACAGGAATACAACAAATACAAGTCTAAAATGAAATACAAAAATAATACAGATTATTAAAATACAGGAATAATACAATATAAAATACGTACAGGGGTAATTCGAAATACATATGGCTGGATATTTTTAAAAAAAACATTAGAAAACTGTTATCTAACTTAACTGTTCTCTATTGTAATGCAATATAGAACGGTTAAGTGGCCTAAACCGTTCTTTATTCCTTCCTTAGGGTATAATTTAAGAAGGGAAAAGAGAACGGTTGTGACTAACAACCGTTCTCTAAATGTGATTATATAAAAGGCCTAAACAACCCGTGCTCTATACTTTATACATCTTTAGTAGAAGAACGCCCATAAGGTAATCTATAAAACCTATTATAACAGTTCTCTAAGGCCTTTTTTGTTGTAGTGAATAATTAGCACGAATCATAAGTTGACCCATGCCCAAATAGGTCTATAAACAAGAAATGAGTTCGGGAGCGAGGATACTAAAATAGCGTTCCTTTTAGAGGAAAATCGTTATCTTAGCCCTAGTACGGCCTCTACTAGCTCTTCCTTTTTTTACAATTTCATCACCAAACAATATATGCAACGCGATACCTAAAACTATGTTAGTTGATTTTATTTACAAGCATTAATTCACGTGGGAATTACATCGTAATGTCGTTATTCTTATTTAATTAAATTCGTGAAAAGGACAAGAAAATAAACAAGATTCGTCTTGGCTTAAGTGATCAACCAACAATTATTTAATTCAATTCTAATCTTTCTTTAACACAAGGTACTATGTGGAACTGATTAATTAATTATTTTAAAGGTGATCAAACAACACTAATTAATTAATTAAAGTCCTTTTAAACAAGAAAATAAAGATGATTTAACTAAGTGCTCGGAAATTTACCACTTCTCTTTGCTAGATCTCCGTTTAGAACACTTATGGACTCCTTCGTGTTGGAGAACCTCCATCGTAGTAACAAGATATCGAAATGGTGAGTGTTTAGGACAAGAGGGCTAGGTTGCATAAGTTCACAAGTATTTCGCCAGAGTTTTAGGTTAATATCCGTTTGTTTAAGACTTGGTCTAAGCTCGTATTTATAGGGAATGATTAGGTTTAGGGTTTCGAGCACTCTACCACAGCAGGTGTCGCGCGCAACAGAATGAGTTGCGCGCGACATCCCAGCGCAAGTGATTTGGTTGCGCTGCTATGGGCAGCGCATCTAATTGTCTTGCGCGAGGCTTTATGGTAAGATTTGAGTTTATATTTTCCGTATAATTCTAAATCTTCAGCAGTGCAACTCTGGAGGTTGCACTAGGTATCGCACGCAACTGTTTTAGTTGCGCGATGCAGCCTAGCGTTACTCTTTGAGATGCGCGCGACTTTTCAAGCGGCAGCACTAAGATTTAACCTAGGCGCTCCTAAATTCGTCATTATTAGGGTTTAAGCACGGGCTTAAGCCTAATTATAATCGGGTTTAGTTAATTGGACCTTTGTTTTGGCTTTTCCTTTAATTTGGGCTAGTCTTTTGTGTTTTGTGGCTTAACCAGTTATCCATAAGTATTCTTCACTTCGATCCAACACGAAGATGGTTTTATTTATCGTCATTGCACTTCTTGTTGGGACAGGAGGCCAAAATTAGATGTCTACAGTTAGCCCCCACTTTGATCGAGTCTAGAATAGACGATGATTAAAGTAGTCAAGGAAATAAATCCGAGACTCATTCTGCGAAGTTCTCCAAGGATAGAGAATCTTTCAGTAATGTTTAAGGATGTCGAAACAATCCTTTGTTCGCTAAGTGTTTGAAACAAGTAGCTATTAAGGCTAGAAAAAGTCCTTCCTAGTCTTAACGCGCTAAAGAATTAGGATTGATCCTTTGCAATTGTAGAACTCTTTTACAAGTAAATGTGTTTTGGGTGATGTCAAGTCATGAGAAGAGATCGATTTCAAAAGGATAAAAGGGGAAGATTTCCTCTCAATCATGTCATCGTTGGTCTAAAGTCCCTCGATATGTCATTGAAACTTTAGCCTGACTTTAACAAAGGAAAAGATGAAAAAGGGTTTTTGGTATTAGAGCCGAAATGGTCCGGTATTCAAGCCGGGTCCGGTATCCAAGCCGGAAGTCCACAAGATAGAAATAAATGTCTCAGGACTGGAGGCATATATCCTAATTCAGTGAGAGGGAAGAAAGTCAGCAACTCTCTCATTAGTTTTTCCCACAAGATGAGTACACGTGTCTCAGGACTAGGGGCACGTGACTACATAGGCACGACATCATCTCGTCACTTCTTTATACAGGGGATGAATTCGACACCCTAACTATCCACTAAGTAAGTAAGCGCACTAACTACCGTATTTGCTCCCATTCAAGAAGTGCCTGTTCCTGAAGGTTCGGCGCGCCTGTCGACTCATAAGCTAACGCCTACAGTAATTCTCTACCTTTTAGTCCCGAGAGGTAGATCTAGCAAAGCTTGGGCTGAGTAAAATTTTACGCAACACCTACGTCGTACAATTTTGCGCCGTACGATATGTTATTTGCATTTTTACGCTGCATGAAAACCTCTTCCTTTTTGCTTCGTACGTGAAAAAGGAAGAAAACCCAGACATTTGTAACATTAGTACAGTATAATGACAAACCTATCTATGGGTGCTTTTATGTAAAACACCACCACGGAATGTCTTAAGGCACTCTAACAAAAAACGTTTAAAACGTATGCTTGGGGAAGGCAAAAAGCACAGTGTGCATGCAATATGATGCAAAAAACTAACAAAAAAGAAAACAAACTACAATATGCAAAGCAATTTAAAAATATTTTTATAATTTGCGCTCCATTACGTCTAATGGCGAGCAAAAACCGTTCAAAAACTGACCAAACGGGTCAAAATCAAAATCCCGGTCTTTTAGTGACCAGTATCCGCGCGCAACTCAGAGGGTCGCGCTGACCTGGCTCGCGCATCTTTCTGAGTTGTGCTGGTATGTCACACGCAACAAATTCAGTTGCGTGCAACATTTATTTAAGTAAAGTGAAAATCGCAAACGCGATTTTTCACTTCACTATTTATTTCTTCTTCCTTCGCCATTTTTGACTCTTTCTCCCTCTAGGAAGCTCCGTTTTTTGCAATTTTCGAAGCTAAATAAAGCAAATTTCATCCTTAATTCATATTTGTCGTAATCCAATGTAAGTTTTTTGCTAAAATTTGTTCTTTTTCGGCTGAATTTTAACAATTTTCGAATCGTTAAACCCCAAATTTTGAAAATGGAAGTTTTCGATTCGGTTCATCTTTCTTGAAATTGCTTGCTCTATGATGTTATACTATGTTTAAGTAGTGTTTTGCAATAAATTTCATGAAAAATGGCTAAGTATTGAACCTTGTGTGAGCATTTCTTTATTCAAGTTCGCTCTTGCTTATTTTTCTTGCTCATTTTGGTTATAATTGCTGATTATGAAGTATATTATAGTGATGGAACTAATATAACTTTCATAATTTATTTTTGTTAATTTTGAATTGTTGAAAAATGGCGCGAAACATACTCTTAGCTTATTTTTGCCATATTCAAACTTCAAAATTGTTTGGTAGACGATAAATATGTTTATATTATTGTTATTTCTCTATAATTATTAGATTCTTTGAGATTTTGGAATACAATACTTTGAATACTTAGTTGAAACCGGTATAGGATGGCTTTTGTGGGTGTTAGAAGCTCCCATTTAGTGAGTTTAACTGCAGGTATCCTAGCCCCCAAGTATGGGTGGCATTCGATTTTTGTGTTTTGCCCTATCGGCAGCCGTTATGCTGCCGAAATGGGTCTAGAATATATATTAGTTTAATTTAGGAAATAAAATAAACTAATAAAATAAACTTTATCCATCATAGCATGGACTCGCCTCCATTTGTCGATGCTGAGGAGATTCTCGGTGGTCCGGACGAGGCGGCCCGATCGACGTTGGTAGGAGGACGTGGTTTGGGAGGCTCCTCCCAAATGGGACCCTAGGGTCCTTAAGTGGGACCCAGACCATCATGTTTCGATCATAGGGTGGCATGGCATCGTGAGTTTTTCGCGCTTTCGTTTCTTTCTCTTTTCCTTTGTTTCTCCTTTGTAAACCATAACCGTTTTTTATTTTTATTCTTTTATTTACAGTGAGCCTAGCATGCGTTTGTACGACCCTGGTGACCTGCGAGCCGGTTTTGAGATTTTGCCTGAGGTGGAAAAGGAGATTGTAGCACTTTCTGGGATTAACTCCTAGCTGGCGGCTCTTCGAGATTTATTGAGTCAGCCTGCATCGTCATCTTTCCTCCGTGGATTGCTAGAGTTTTGGTGGGATTCCACCAACACTTTCCAGTTTCCATGGGAAGAGATGATGGTTACCCCTTTCGATTTCTCTATAATTACAGGTTTTCCTTTCGGAGGCGAGCCTTTAGTTGAGTTCGTTAAGAGGTCAGACGAGAGATTGCGCGACCTTGTGGGGGGCCGTCTTGCGTCGGCCCTCCACGTGTACGCACAATCCTGTATGTACTCGATTCTTGCCGACGAGTTGTCAGATGACAAGCTTGACCGACAGTGTACACCTGAGCAGCTGGCTCGGATATACATTGCTCACGTTCTTTCCGTCACCATTTTGAGTTATCGAGGAGAGCATTTTGCCATTGGGTTACTTATTTTCCTCAGTGATTTGGGGAAAGTCGGTGACCTAAGTTGGGCGGAGGTGTCGTATGCCCGTATGCTTACAGCTATGGCCAAGGCGACCCGGGTCATGGATTCCGCGGCAGCTACTACGGTGCCTCGGATTTAGCTTAAGTGGCATGGTCGTATCCTTGAGGTACGTGTTTTAAGCTTATTTCGGTTATTACTTTTGCTTTTTTCTTTTAGGCTT